CATAAAGAAGAGCGCCACAATTGAGATCGGCTTCATCTACTCAAGTCGGAACTTCATATCCGCGCCAATGTACCAAAAATTCTTGATAGATCCGTCAATATCTAGTCCTCTTGCCAGTCCTCATATCGGAAATTCAATACACTTCGTATTCATCTGAACCCCGATCCTGGATCCAACTATCTTCCGGTAAGAGAGCTTCATCGAAATCCACCCGATCGCTATCCGGCTCCTCTAGGCGAGCTACTGGTCGATCTGGAAATATCTTGACCAGTTTGATCTTCGAGACATGCACCACCGAGAAAATGCTGTATGTGGATCCTGCAATCTTCAACCTCACTGCATATTCTCCGATCTTCTAAGCGACGCGAAAAGGCCTATGCCATAGGTGCGCCAGTTTATTCGCATATCCTTCGCGTACTCGATCTAAGTACAACCAGACACTTGATCCAGCCTCCACAAGGTGCGGATGTACCAGATCATTATGGGTGTCGGCTCGATCCACCATTGCTTCGCGTAAACGCTGATACACTTGTTCTCGAGCTTGTTGGTAGTACTTTTGCGTCCGATATCGCCACCTTCTCGGAGATTGATCGTGCCTGCGAGTACTCCCCACCGGGATCACCGCCTCCAGAGTAGATCTACGATCCCCACCATGTATCCTGTATAAAGGGGTTTCACCTCGGATACGATCTCTTACAGTGTTGATCGCGAAGGTGAGACGCTCAGCATACTCGTCCCAATTTCGTTGATCAAGATCTTCCACATGCCCCAAGATCTTGTTGAAAGACTTAAAGAAATTAGACATAAAGCCTGGCTCCCGATCGTGTCGGATCACCTCGCTCGCACCAAACCGGCGGAAGACACACTCCTCGTAGGTCTCCGCGATTGTCTGTGCGGATCTAGAGGCGCTGGCTTTGGCGATCACATATCCCGAGAATAGATCCACGAAGATCAACAATTCGGTGTTGCCGTTGAAGGATCTAGGCAATGAAGGTATATGATCCATGACAATGATCTGGAACGGATATGTCGCCTGAAGGTTACCAGGTGACTCACCCTGGATCTGGGGTCGTCCTTTGCCTGTTTCGCAGTCGGCACATTCTCCCACATATCGCTGTACATTCTTGTACAGCCCTTTCCAGTGGAAATGATCACGGATCCGGTCGTAGGTGCGACCGATCCCTTTGACCACCCTGCAAACTCGTATGATAGCGATGCAAAATGTCCTGTTGAAGCGTCTCAGGTATTACCAATCGCATCAACTTGTCTCGATCCGCAGCTGCCTCCTTAGTTGTCGGGCAGTAGAAGAGTAGATCCGACTGATCCACTTCGTAATTCATGGCAATTGATCCAAACACCTTAGCATCCTCTTGTGTCAGATCCCGGATCTCTCCAACCAAATATTTCTTCAGACCCAAGATCCACGACTCTTCATCTTGTGCTTGCCGGATCCGCTCGATCCTCAGCTCTCTCACAACTTCCTCTCGTAGTGAGTCTGGATCAGGTTCAGTACGCACTCCAGAGCTAGCCTTAGATCGAGTCGTTACGGCAGATATCTGCGCGATCTCATCTTCGATCTTCACTATCACAATCTCATCCAACCGGTTCAAGGTTACTAGATCCTGGATCTCCTTTTCAGACTCGACCTCGATCCCACATTGCCGCTGCAGAGCGGCGCTTGCTAAGCTGTCCGCACTCCCGTTCCAATCTCGTTGAACATGTAACAGCTCATGATCTGGCCAAGTACGTAGTCGATCCAGAGCCTGCTGGTACAGCAGTGTCAAACCCGGTGCCTTACAATCGATCTCACCTCGTACTTGTCGGATCACCAGGTTCGAGTCCCCACAGATCACTAGACGTCGTGGATCCAGATCTTCCAACAGATCCAAACACAACAACAGTTCATGATATTCGGCTTCGTTCACTGTTAGGCCTTCGGCGTTGCCAGACCTGGCCTTTAGCACTCTCCATTCAGGCAATTTCCACAGGATCGTGCTGTAGGCGCCTCCACCTCTCTTTACACGGGCATCGTCGCGTCTAATAGTGGAGATCGGAGCTTGGATCTTGCGCCGTGGCTCCTTCTTAGGGGCAATCGAGATCAGCGCCTTATCCACCTGTGATCTAGGCGTAATGCTCGCCGCCAATGCTCCCAGGATCTCATCTTCCCCTTTGGTGCACTCGGTGATCTCGAGAGTCCATGGCGACAGTAGAGCAGCCCACTGACCTAAACGTCGCTGCAAGGCTTTGGATCTGAAGAGCCACGACAAAGAAGAGTGTCGGGTCAACACACGGATCGGACGCCCGACCTGCGCATTATAGTTAAGATCCAGGATCCTCAGAAGGGCTAATACCTCTTTCTTTGCGATGCTATAATTTAGCTCATTCGACTTCAGAGTGCGGCTCGCAAACATCAAGGGGTAGTGGATCTGGTCGTATTCCTGCATCAACGGTCCCGAAATGGCCCAATCTCTAGTATACACCACGACCGTGGCTCTCCGATCTGGATCAAAGTGCCGTAAGATCGGAGTAGTAGCGATCTTGGCTTTAAGTACATTGAAGGACCGATGGGCATGGATCCAACGCGGATCCACCTCAGTGAGATCCGACGCCTCCAGATCCAATGTCTTTCGGTGGTCGACCACATGATCTTCCGGGGATCCTGGATCCACGTTCTCTGCCTCCAACACTTGTTTGATCCGCACTTGGGTAGCCACCTTCACCATTGCGGCAAAGTCAATTT